GGCATTGAGGGGCAGGGCAGGGCAAAGGCCCACAGGACATTGCCACATGACAGCGGCACCCTCTTTGTGAAGAGAAGCGAGCAGAGAACCGGCAGCCCAGTGCTCTCTGGAAAGCTGTAGTATTAGGTCACTGGGTCTTAATGCAGTGGAGTAAATGTGGAACTGTAGGGTGAGCGTTTTCCCTGAAAGGGTAGCTCTTCTGGGACCAGGACTTGATTCCGGGTGGGCAGTCTGGATCAGTGGACTCCGAGGGAGTCCCTGGCAGCCCCCAGATTGCTAAGAACTACACAATGGGGACAGGCGGCTTGGTCTGGAACGACACAGGGAGACATGTATCATTGTTTGTGGTTGTGCACTCCTGTGATTAAAGCATCCTCCAAAATGAAGACCTGAAAGTAGACAGTGACTCTCAAGCCCTAATTAATCTTAGAGTTTCTCCTGTATTTAGCTCTTGGGGCACTTACTCTCTAGAGCTTAAAATGGGGTTTTGAGAAAAAACTATTGTCTTAAAAATTGAAGAATAGGAGGCAAAACATGCAGCTTCTTGAACTTCTCAAACATTTTCTTCAAGTGAAATACAGCAGAAAGAAGTGTGTTTGGCCCACTGGCCTCTGCCAGGCACCCTCAGAAGCGGCGTGGACACCTTGAGGCCGCTGTCCATCACCAGCACTGCTCCCCCCGGGGAAGGGACTTGTTCCAACTGCCCAAGCACACATTTCTGTACTTTATGCAAATGGAATCATACTTCCTTGAGTTAAAATAGCAGCAACAAAACTCTTTGAAACACTACCATTTGCCATCTATCACAAAGCTTCAATTTTTCCTTGAAAGTACCTTTAGTTCAACCTGACTTAGTATCTTGCCATTTGGGTGACGGTATCATTGTTGTTATAATTTTTTTACACTGCACTTGTAAGTTTACTTCAGCATTCAAGATTGGATTTTACTCAGTCCATGATAACCCAGTCAGGCCCAGTGCATGGTCCTCTCTTCCCCTGGATACCAACCATCCACGCTGGCCTCCCCTGACGTGTGGTCCCTAGCTTGTTAACCCAACTTCAGCCCGAGATGTGATTGTGTCCCACCGGATCAACAGCCGAGTGAACTGCAGGTGCCAGCTTGGAGGGAGTTGGAAGCAAGGGCGGGGAGGTGAGCAGAGATAGCCCGAGGCCAGCCCTGCCCCACCCACATGTGTCCATTCTGAAACTGAAGACTAAGACCTCACCTTCCCTTCCTGCTTCTGTACCCTGCCTAGGGAACTGGTGCTGTTTCAGTGGCCTTGGCATAGGTTTACTAGCTCTCAGACGCCCGACTATTTGAAGGGTTGCATTTATATTAAAGTATCGGGGTGTCTGTGTCAGACAGCTTTCCATTCCTGTGATAATCAGCTGTCTCACCACTCGGGGGTTCAGTCCATGGTCTGCTGGACACCTTGCTTTTGGCAAAGCCTCTGGCGGGGCGGCAGGACGTGATGGTAGGATAGGTACATGTGCTAAGCTGCTCTCTTTGTGGCTGGACATGAAAGTGAGAGGCCGGAAGAGATGGGCTGGGTCCCCATGAGGTCACCCCAGTGGCCTAACCCCCATCGGTGCTCACTTCCTCAGTTTCCCCCACCGGCCAGCATCACCACTCAGAAATGGCCATTCCTACGTGGGCCTCTGGGAGACGATCCACGTGCAAACCATGGCAGTTCCTAGGAGTCTTCTTGCCCCTGGGACTCATTTTGGGGTGCTCCAGCTGAAGTTAGTGTTCTTGCAAACCCACGTTTCTTCCTCAGAGAAATCCAGCCTTTGCTCTGAGTATTTCTCCAGCAAATTAACTGCCATTTTAAATTCTTATTGAGTTCTTATTTAAGGTCAGTGTTCCTCAAACTTTAGTGTGGCTCAGAACCTCCTGGAGGAGTTGTTAAATACGGAGACAGTTGAGTCTCAAATTCAGCTCTGACTCTTGGGGCCTGGAGTATGTCCTTGGAATCCACATTTTTATTGGTCCTCAAAGTGATTCTGGCATGTGTTGTCTGGGGCCATCATGCCTGGAGAATGGCGGTGTTCACGAAGTTCTTTATGCAGTGAGGTGTCGTGTGCAACCATAGAATACGCCCAGGAGCCCTTGGAGCTTGCTGTGGCCAGAGTGGATCGGGGTGCTGGGGGGTCGGGGTCCCACCTCTACGGCCTGGGAGCTCCTGGTCCTGGAAGGCTGAAGCTTAGAGTTGAGCTTGAACATGAGATAGAGAACCTGATGCTGAGATGTCGCTAGGCCCTAACGGAACTTAATGTAATAAAAAGGACACCATTTTATAGATTCATAGAATTGTAGAGCTGGAAGAGATCTATCAAAATATTAGATTCTATGGTGTAGTTTTCCCAAACTGTGTGACAAGCTATGACCAGAAACCAGGCCTTCTACCTCCCAAGCTAGCGTACCACACACACACACCCACCCCAAATTCATCGCTCTCGTTCCCCATATACTCCAGTTGCACTTCTTGTCCCACAAGCAGCAGAAGGAGGAAGGGGTAACCTCCCAGGCTTCTGGCTCTGCCTGATTTCAGCACCCTCCATCTGAAAGAAACTTGGATGCTTGGAAATGCATTCTCAGGTGCTTTCTGATACCAAGAAGAAGCCAGGCCTGATAGACATGTAGATATGAGGGCGGTCCCACCCTTACAGTGACTTTGCTGGGCATGGCCCACTCCCCATCCTTCAGGCCCCTCCCACCTGTGCCTGCACAGAGGGACTGGCCCTCTGGGGTGGAGGTGACATGCACCTGTCAGTAGGTCGCAGGGAAACAGCCTCTCCCGAGTCAGTGCCAAATGGCCACTTGCAGTGAGCAGTTTAGAGTCCCTCTTTGTGAGGGTTCCAGGAACATCAGTGCGAAGATACGACATCTGACAGGGAGAATCCTAATGTGCACTCAACAGCCTGTGTTCCTGGAAAGCAAATTTTTTATTCCATTTTCTTATTCTTCCTACCAAACAAAGAAATATTGTTATGACCTGTGACTTACGGTTGTTTCTGGCCTTTGTGGAAGGTGAATACAGGACCCATTATTTTTATAGCATTATGCAGTTCAGACCATTGTTCATTTATTACATGTTCTGTGCAAGGCGCTGTGCTGAGGAGAGTTGAGGCTCCTGCCCCACGTACCCATTTTTACCTCTCTGCAGCCATCAAATGGGCCACATGCATGTCTCCTTGGGCAAATCCTCATTCAGTTCCAAGAAAAAGTTCTGTCTTTGAAGATTTTTTAACTTTCTTTTGGCAAGAAATGGAAAGTATGCAACAGTGTGTTTTCTTTTCTGCCTTCACTGCCAGAAAATTTAGAGCCACATTTTAATAATAGCCTTTCCTTGGAAGGTTGGGAGCATTTCTTTCTGCTTCCTTTAGTCAGTCTCTGTTTTTTTTCTTATTTTTTAATCTCTAATTGACCTATTCTGCGTTTTTAAAGTTGAGAGCTACTATAAACATTCTTGGAGGGAAGAATGGTCATTTGTTTTCCTGCGCATTTGACATGGAGTCCGTGTTTGAATCATCCTGGCCGCCATGAGACAGGTGCGAGATGGAAATAATTGGCTCTCGAAAGCTGTGAGATGGAAAGCTTGCTGGGAGCAAAGCAAATGGAGCACATCTCCGAAGAGGCTTTCCTGTGCTGACTACCTGTCGCTGTGCCCCAGGCTCAGCACAGGGTCTTTTGGAAATGTCCCACTGACGGGATTGGAGCTGTGGCCTAAGAGCTTGCCATTTGCCATACATCACAGCGGGCCAAGAAGTACAAAACTTGGACCCCAGTCCCAGCAGAGGCGTGGGCTCCGGCTGGCCCGGGCCATCTGGGAGCCCCTGTGCGGGTCTTCCCGAGCTGGGCCTGTGCTGGGACCCTTGTGGTGCAGATGCTGCGGGGGCCAGGGACCATGTCCCTTCCTCCTGGCTCCAGCATTACACCGAGATCTGTGCAGATGCGAGGGGACACAGGGAGAGTGCAGAGCTGAGCTGCTCGGAAGTGCTTGTTGACTGGAAGTAATGACACACAGAGGTGTGAATGTGTACATTGTGTTTCTGGGTAAAGAATAGATCTTTGCTATTCTCATGTTTCCTACATAAGTGACCCTTCCCAGCTGCAGTAGGGTCCCAAGAATTTGCCTTTTGAGAAAATGAGCTTGTGCTCTGGATTTAAGCAGAGGAACAGCCCCTAGGCAGTCACAGAGGAGAGATGCCTGGCTGGCTCTCTCCATACTGAACAGTCGCATATACATCACACTTATGGGACCAATGCACATAATGATTGTGTCACATACAGTTAAATAATTTTTCTTTTTTTTTTTTGAGACAGGGTCTTGCTATGTAGTTCAGGCTGGCCTTGCGCTCACTGTGCAGCCCAGACTGGTCTCAAACTTCCAGTGATCTTCCTGCCTCAGCCTCCTGAGTGCTGGGATACAGGTGTGCACCAGCATGGCTGGGATGATATTTTAAATCTCTATGAGATTAGAAGGAGGAAATTGTCCATGGTCTGGAAATGTATTCATCTTGGGAAACTGCAAATTGAAGTGTGTAGACTAAGTTACTGGTTGTTACTAGTCTAGCACAAGTTACCAGCTTTTCCTCTGAAGACTAAATTTACTACAGTTGTGAATAAATAATCTGTGTGTGTGTGTGTGTGTGTGTGTGTAAGTTTCCAGCTGTATTTCACCTAAACTGGAATGAACAGAAAAAAATCACATTTTGGTGAAAATAAGCATCAGTATCAATTTTGATGCGAATACCAAAATTATTAAGATGCCAGCGCCGAGTCTTAGAGACAGCTGGCTGGTGCTTCTGTCGGAAGGCTAGCGTGTGGTCAGATTCGGACAGGCTCCCTGCACCTCGAGATCTTTAAGAGGCTGACACGGGATGGTTCTGGAGGCCCCGGGTGAAGGGTGAAGGGCAAAGGGCGGGCTGCGGGGCGGGGTGTGGTCAGCCCGATCAGCGTGAGCGCCCTCATCCCTCTTGCCCCCCGCTGTGACTCAGACTGGGAGGCGCGCATTGACAGCCACGGCAGGATCTTCTACGTGGACCATGTGAACAGGACCACGACGTGGCAGCGGCCCACAGCCCCGCCGGCCCCGCAGGTGCTGCAGCGCTCCAACTCCATCCAGCAGATGGAGCAGCTGAACCGGCGGTGAGCACCTCTGCCTCCTGTTCTTGCACTGTGGCCGTCACCCTGGTTCCCTTGGTTAAAAAAGAAGCCCACCCGTGCACAGCTTGTTTGGGAGCCAGAGAGGGAGTGAATAGCGGGGACCCCTGAGCTAACCAGAGGCGAGGGCTTTCAGTGAAGCAGATCTTTAATTTGAAGCCAGATTTTGACCTCTATAATCTTCCTTTGTGATGCATCTTTATTATCAGGTGAAGCTTTTTCAACCATTCTTTTCTTTTTAAAGTGATTTCTGTGGAACATAATCTTGTTCTTTTCCTCGACAATATAGGCATTTATTTTCTTTGGTTAAGGGCCATGGCTTTTTAAAAGCTTTATTAACTTGTCAGGAAGATGTTCCACAAGCGGTGGACAGAAGAGTTAAGTGCAGTGCAGTTTACTTAAAAGACTGATGGCCCAGAAGCTCAGGGGAAGGGGCCGGGGAAGGGGATGCCTAGCCTGAGAAGGGGGGGATACCTCTGAGTTCGGGGAGCAGGGGTCCCGCCCTGTGAGCTGGACTGTGACTCCAGGCTTATGGTTGCAGCTACCAGAGCATCCGCAGAACCATGACCAACGAGAGGCCGGAGGAAAACACCAGCGCTGTGGATGGGGCCGGGGAGGAAGCTGACTTTCACCAGGCCAGCGCAGGTAAGGGCCGGGCTTGTTTGCCCTGTGACCTGCTGAGAGTAGAAGAGAAAGAGCAGAGAGAACTTTCTCCTTGCACTTCTCCGAGACCTGCTAATGCAACTCAGGAACCGGACTTCACCAGAAACCTCTTCCAGTCTTTGACCTTTTATCAGCACTGAGAAAAGAATCATAAAACCAAATAGACCATAATTCCCATAGTCTCCGAATCTGTGGGGTGGTGGAAGAAGAATCCAGTCATTCAACAGAGTAACCTACGGATGCATTAAATGTTAAAATAGTGACTAGAAGGGCCGGGATGCAGCTCAGGTTTTCCGCCGCCGGCCCCACAAGCGCAAGGACTCTAGTTCGATCCCTGTTACCAAAAAAAGAATGTCGAGAAGTGTTACTTGACTTTATTTCAGTGTGATTAAGCAGAGTCGGGCTTTATGTACAGATTTACAGCAAAGAAAAAGTATGTGAGGGTGGGAGGAGTAGCAGATGGAGCGTGCTGCTCGCTTCTTTCACAGCATGGAGTGCAGGGGGCAGCGGCTCCGAACCCTGTGCTCTGCCCGCAGACTTCCGCCGGGAGAGCGTCCTGCCGCACTCTACCTCCAGATCCAGGCTCACCTTGCTGTTGCAGTCGCCCCCCGTGAAGTTCCTCATCAGCCCAGAGTTCTTCACTGTGCTGCATTCGAACCCCGTGAGTAGCCCAGTGGGCCAGACTGCGTGCGTCCTTGTCGCTCGTGCCACTGAAGAGTGACCACTGCCCATGGTGTGTCCCATACCCTGTGTCGGGCACCGCTGCGCCTGAACTCACTTCACCCTGCTCTATCACCAGCATCAGCAAAAACAAAGCCCTAAAATTGAGAGGCTGATACAGGACACAGACTTAATTCTCACGGTCCTGAACGACGGCAGTGCAGGGTCAGTGTGCAGCCAGTCTTGTGCAGGGGAACCACTTTTCCCGGTTTGCAGATGGCCCATGGCAGGGAGGGTGAGGGGCTTGCTCACCTTCTCCTACAGGACACCAGCGCCGCTCTTGCGGGCTCCCTATTATGCCCTGTTCACCCTGACGCCATCACCCTGGTGATGATGCATTTCAGGGGACACGGGTACAGGCCACAGGAGGAGGGTCACTCCGCGGGTCTCAGGGCTGGGTGAGAGGCTTGCTGGAGACACGGTTAGAGGAAGGCTGCACACTCCAGGGCACAGTGAGGGCGGCGCTGCCCAGGGGTGCAGCTGGCTGGAGTTCATAGGAGGCCGGACAGAGGAAGGAGCAGAGGAGGGGAATCACCACAAGGGGCCTGAGGTGGAGAGGGGGACATACCTGGTGAGTGCAGAGATAGAGAGAAGCTGAGAGCAACCTGGGGGTTCATGATTCCACATGAATAATAAGTGCTATGAGGTAGCAGAGGGAAGTTAGAGCAAGGGAGTCATTGAAGGCCTGGAAGGGGAACGCAGGAACTGAGCAGAACACACAGACTGCCTCAGGAGAAGCAGCCAGACCCTGGGGAGGGCGAGTCAGCAGAGCTGTCCGAGAGGGAGGTCTTCAGTGTGGACTCTCACTGATGCTAGCACGTTTCCCACTCACCCTGGTCCTCATCGCCTCCTTGGTTGCAGGCATGGCTTTGCACAGATGCCATGGGGTGTCGTGCAGGATGGGTTAGACGTGCTGTCTGTTCATGTTAGTGGCCTGGTTGATGTTGTTAGGCACTGAGCTAAGTCCTAGGGACATGAAGATAATGGCAGCAGTGAGCCTGGGGACCCCAAATGCCCTCATGAGGGCACAGCATAATCTGAAGTTTAATTTGCAGGATCAGCATTTTATTTTCTCCCAGTCTAGAAAAAGGCATCAAACATTTTCTGTAAAGGGCCAGAGAGCAAATGATTTTAGGCTTTGGGGCCACGGACAGTATGGAACACATGGGCCTGGCTGTGTGCTGGGGAAACTTGGTCATGAACACAGACAGTTGGCCATGGTCTAAACAAGGAATGAAGCCTGGTTTGCAGGTGGGGTTTCCGCAGTGTGACTCTGTCTGCGCCTCTGTGGTTCAGGCTCCTCCCCACTGTACCGCTTTAGGCAGGGGCTTTGACCCATTGCCTGGGGTCTGTGCTTTACCAGGGAGGCTTGCAAAGTAAATGTGCATTCTTGGTTCCTGGGAGGTTCTGGTTAAGTGGATCTGGCGTAGGTCTGGAGAATCCGTTTTATATATTTTTTAGGTCCCTTAAGTAATTGTGACACAGTGAGTCAGGACCTGTAATTTAGGAAGTCCTAGTATGAAAAGAGGTTGAGTTAGACGATCTCACTGCCTTGGGCCCAGCTCCAAGTCGTCCGGCCTTTTGACAGCTGACACCACAGTATGAGAGTCCTAAGCTGCTCATTGGTTTTCTTGCTTATTTTGTTTTCATGTTGTTGCCTTCTCTTTTCTATACTTGGAAATGTTATCAAAATACCTTTTTCTGGACAACCTGCCTTGATATTAAAGTATTCTTTTCTAGAGAGTTTGAATTTCTTTTCTTCCTTCTACCCAGCTGCTGGCTAAAAGGATGATCCGTGCTGTACACCTCTGCATTTCTATAAGATTTAAATTCTGTTGATTTAAAAAGACTCATTTTTCTGACAAAAATGTGGCAAAAATAACAGTGTTGGGTTTTTCTTGCTAAAGGTCTCAGAGGTATGAATTGATGGCATAAGACATTTTTTTTTGTTCAAGGCATTCTTTTCTGAAGTTTCTTACAAAACAAACTTTTATTTTATTGTCCTATCTTGATTTTTTGTGTAGTATTTTACTTGAATTTTTTATAATATATGACTTTCAGTAAAGTCCTTGTTTATATTATTGAGAATATTTAACATATAAAAGGAGTGTTTTAATTTGAAAGCTTTCTTAATTCTTTTTTTGATTTGAAGAAAATAATTTATGTTGAAAGATAGCCATGAAAAATAGATATCACGTAGCAATAACTTATATAATAGTATTTACTGAAACAAAGCTAAGTAGGCCCGTGGCTGTCCTACCTTGAAAAACAAAATGTTGATTTTTTCTGTCGTGGTCCTTTTCAGATGTATAATACTGCCCACTGCTGGTTGTTCTCAGATTTCCTCCAAAATTGCCTTGATAAAGTATTTCTCCTGTTAACTCAAAATTTGGTTACTGTATTAAAACAGAGCAGGGAGACTGGGAATGTGAGTTACCAGGAGGGAGGAATGACCAAGATATGCTACAGATATGTGTGAATGTGCCAGAAAGAAACCCACGGTTCTGTAGAACTAATATGCACTAAAAAAAGAAAAATAGTTGTTGTGCCATGCCTTTTATAGTTGGTATGCCTTTTCAAACATGAATACATTCGATTATATGTAATTGAATAACATTTCCAATGTGCATGCCAAATACTCCCCTGGCTGTTAATGAGCTCTTAGACATGTGTTAATTCCATCACCTAAAGTCCTTAGTACTTAATGAAGAAAAACATTATTTTAAAAATTGGTGAGTATATCTTACAAATCAAGAATTACTGCTTATGCAGAATAGATGAGCTGATAGTATATAGTCATTTCCACTAACAAATTTAAATTTCCCTCCATTTTACTCTGAAGCTAGATGAAAACACTGTATGTAAAACCCTTTCTATATAAGACAGGACTTATATTTCCAGACTCCAGCAGAAATCTTCCAACATTTCTTGATATGTTTGTAATAGATTTTGATTAGCGAGTGACAAAACCAATTGCTCAAGTCCCTGTGACTACGAGAGGTCTTGGTGTAGATTCCGTGGTGCTATTTCTAACCTGACTTCAGTATGCCTACTCCAGGTGAAGGATCTCTTAAATAGGAAAAATGTCATTCATCAGTAATACACCTAACTTTGTTATTGAAAAGACTAGAACTGGGAGAAATCAGGGCTGGGCCAGGTAAACAGGAGGTTTGGTCACCAAAGCACTGAAGAAAACTTGCAAAAGAAAAAAAGTTAACTATCACTTGAATTGTGGTTGATTGGTGAGAGCTGACTACATATAGTTCTCTTATCTTGATGCTGAATGGCGGTAACATTGCCCTCAGTTCCTCTCAATATTCTGCACGTCTCAAACATCAAACACATAACCACATGCACACACTCAGCTCTGAGGAGTTTACTTTTTAGCACGATTCCACTAAAGAAAATCGGATGATCGAGGGCTCAGCCATGGGGTATTTCTCTCTAGGAAGACAAGAAACGATGAAGAGGGAGGCAAGAAAGGGGAGTTTGGGAAAAGAAGTATCTAAAAAGGACACGTTAAATCACAGCAGACGCAAACAAAGCTTTCTCTCCTCAGAGAGTCTAAAGGGGCTCTGTTGTTCTTCACATTCGCCCCCCACCCAGCTACTCTCAGGTCCACACGTGTCCTGTTCACAAAGTCACTCCATGGGTCACGGTGCCACTGTCGTAGGAAGTCAGCGGCCTCTGCTCTCTCCTAACTCACTTTTGCGTCAGGTGAAAAATAAATCGGGTTTGTTTGCTTCATCCTTTTCTAAGAGACAAACAAACTGACCAGGACAGAAAGGGTCCTAACCCAGCGAGGACCGCTAGCTCCAGCCTGAGATAAAGACGCCCCTTCTGTTATCCTAGTGGTTGCCACAGTCGCATCCTCGAAGGCTGAGCACCGCACCCGGCTGCCTGCCTCCTGTCCAGCGCTGCTTTCTGCCCCAGGAGCCGCTTCCTCTCCTGCAGCCTCTGTCATTTTCCTTCTCTGTCCTCTGAGTTACCGGTCCCTGTCCTCAGGTATAGGCAGGCTGAGCACCGAGTTCAAGAGGATTAGCACCTGGCTGCAGGGAATGGGGGCCAGGACACCAGCCCAACATCTTTCAAGACTAAGGGAAAGCAGCTTTAGTACTGTTGTTTAGCAGTTCTGCGGATGGCGGGTTTAACCTCCTATTCATTCTTTTCGTTACTCATACCGTGTTTTTATAGTGGTTTCTACTTCTTCAAAGCATTTTTACATCCTTTGTTTTATTATATTTGAATCTCATGACTACAGAAAGCAGGGGGATTATTATTACCCCACCTTGCAGTTGAGCAAATTAAGGCAAACTGAGACTAATGGCTTTCTTTGTCTCTGTGCATCATAGAGCTAGGGTTAGATTCCTCACAGGAGGTCTGCATGGGCCAGAATCTTTGGATTCTGTCTCTGCCTCTATAGATCAGATATGTGTGTACCTACACACACTGTAGCATGTACACTGGATGATGCATATATGCTTGTGTGTGTTCATTCAGGAATAGTTTCTTTATAGGAATGCCCAGTCTGGAAGGATGTTCCTGTTTGCCTAAAGTGTTTTACATAGACCTCCAGGATCCTGAGCCCATTATTCAGATTTGAAAAGGTCGTTTGCTACTTACTAATGAGAGAAATCTTTTTTCACTTTGTTTGCTCTGGTAGATGGCTTTCTGCAAAGATCATTTGAGCTCGGCACTCTGTCCCATGTCTCAATGCATAAAAGGATATAATTGGTTATGAGACCAACCCTGAGAGTCCCTTGCTCACCGAAAGTCAGCTGATCCTGGGCGCTGTTGTCCACATGCGCAGGGATTGCTGGCCCCGTAACCTAATTGCTGCAGCTCCTCGCCCTAACAGAGGTCTGCCTTTCTCAGTAGCAGCTTAGAGCATTCGTGGTGCCCTGGATTAGGAACTTGATGTGGCCTGTATTCTTATCGGACAGGAGAGGGGGACCAGAGGGGACCAAGAGATGCCCGGCTTAAAACAATGGCTAATGTCGTGCTGTATCTAACAGTTACCCTACAGTGAGCCCCAGGGAGACTTATAGGGAGTGAGTGAGGCACGAAGCCGTTTCCATCACCACACAGAGGGTACAACTCGGGCCTGAAGGCTGTGACAGCTATGTGAACTCGTGCAGCAGACTTCACAGATGGCAGTGAAGACTCCACGCCAGGCTCAGCCACAGGCGAAGCTGCTTGCGAGCTAAGGTCATCTCTGGCAGCCTTCTGCTTCTTTAGAGCCCCTCTCTTTTTACCGCATCACTTTCCCGTCCTCCCCTGCTCCCTGTACCAGACAGGGCTGCCCTCTGTTGTTGAAAACTCACTGTCATTGAGACAGGCTGAAGTTCGGCCAAAGGGGGTTTTAACTCAGGCACTGCAAGGAGCTAAGACCTGAGGAGGTTTGGTGTGACTGACCTCCCTTCCTTCCCTTTCTTCTCTTCCTCCGTCCCTCCCTTCCCTGTTGCGACAGGGGAAAGTATTTTAATGGAAAGCAAAAAGCATATAATGATAGTGGAGTAACCAGATCACTTTAGGTTATACTTCAATAACACCAGCCAACAATGTCAATGAACATTGGTTTATTTCTCATTGAAAATCTTGTCACTAGGGTTCTCTGAACCCAGTGGTTACCCAGAGAGCCGGGCTGGGCAGCAGCCACGTTTCTGACATTGCCAGTTGCTGTGCTTGCTGGGACAAGGGCCAGCAGCTCTCGGGGTCTCGCATGGGCAGTGGATGCTCTGAGCTGGGTGTGACACATCTCAAGGGCCCCAGGAAGTCAGGCGGCCTCGGTGGGCTCCATACTCATTTACCTTTCGTCCTAAATCACTTACATAGTGCTCAGTGCAGCAAAGACAGTGAATGCCATTAAGTGGAAATGGTTTCCAGGAGCTCCAGTATCTTTGTGGTTTGCTTTGGGCTTAGACTAAAAGAAATAGAACACAGAAGTAAAGCTTGAAGGGTCCCAGACTCGGTCACATGTCCCCAGGGTACTGAATGTAAGAAGAATCCAGGGCCCTTGGACTCTTTGAAAAGCACAGGAATCAGAATGGTCATTTATTGCCTAGTAGATTCCAGGGCATTATGTCCCCAGTGACTCAAGAAAGCTGCTCCATGCAGTCATTCCCTTTCTACTGCTAAGTACGAGTATTGTGCAATGAGTATTTGTTGAATGACTGATTATGCACAACCTGTGGTTTAGAATCAGTTTTAAGTATCACAGATGAAGGTGACAGAGTTTTTGACAAAACAGTCATTTCTTTGTGGGGTGTGTAGTGAGCTTTATTCAACTCGCATTTCAGTTGCTGTGGATAATTTCAGCCACATGCACACAGGGATAGAGACAGAGACGGAGTCCAGGCAGTTCAACCTGCCACTCTGTTTGCCGAGCCTGTCCTCTGAGAAAGCTGTCTGCGTGGTCTCAGTTGGTGGCTGTCCAAGCTGCTCATCTCTTTGGCTGTGCCAATCATACGCAGGCCCCCCACGTGGCGTGGTCCCCGGATATGGGGCACTCAGTCTCCTGGCGTGCACCCAGAGGGACAGTGACCTGGCGCGCGCTGGAGAAAACGGTTGTGTCTGCTGGCTGGGAGGTGCACAGCCCCTCAACTTGGTGTCTTTCGATTGTGTTTTTTGTTAGAACCAATTTAGGCTCTCACATCCCTGTGTAATAAAGGTGTGATCTTCCATGGTCTTTGTATGTTTTGTTCAAGACTCCCTGCTCTGTCTGCTGTCCCCATATGTGGGTCTAGAGTTAGGATGCGGCCCAAGACCATGTTTCTGTCCCTACAGAAGACGCAGTGTCCCCAGCTGTAGCCATGGTGATGTCCCTGGCTGTAGCCAGGCTGCCTCGCAGGTTAACTCTAGTTCTCTGTCCTCTCCCCAGAGTGCCTACCGCATGTTTACAAACAACACGTGTTTGAAGCACATGATCACCAAAGTCCGTCGGGACACACACCACTTCGAACGCTACCAGCATAACCGTGACCTCGTGGGCTTCCTCAACATGTTTGCCAACAAGCAGCTGGACCTGCCAAGGGGCTGGGAGATGAAACACGACCATCAGGGCAAGGTAACGGGACAGCTGCCTGGGAGCTGGTGGACATGGCAGGGCTGCTGGGGCCCGAGTGGCTCTGCCCTCCCTCGCCCGCAGGGCATTTGGTGCCTCACATGCTGGGACTGTCCTGAGGTGGGGCCCAGCATGGAGAGGCTGACGGTTTCCCTCCTGTTCTTACCCCTGCTATCTCTCGCCTGTCCTTCCCGCCAGTTAGAGGAAAGGTTTCCTATGCAACAGCCCCACTTCTCCCAGGCTTCACAGCTTGCGTTGTGGGCGTTTTGTTTTTTTGTTTTGCTGGTACTGGGGATCAAACTCAGAACCTTGCGCTTACAAGGCAGGCGCCGGAACCACTGAGCTAAACCCCCAGCCTCGTTGTGGGTGTTCCATCAGAAGCTGTGGTGGTGTTTGGAGAGGGAGACCCAGAGTGAGATGCCATCTGGGCTTGGCCTTGGTCTTGTCAGTGCAGAGCTGACTTTGTTAGTGCCTTAAACAAAAGAAGACATAACTGTCACACAGGGCAGAGGAACAGTATCTGTACTTCCTTCCGGACGGTGAGTCAGAAAGCCTGGTCATGGTCAGGCAGTTGCATGAGTAAGAAATCAGAAAGGGAGCATTTGTACTTGTCCAGAGGTGTTTGCCCCTAAGATTTTATTTTCCCTTAACATTTGCATGGCTTTGACTTCCAGCTTTTCATGCCTAGAGGATCCTTGCCACAGCTGGGTAAATCAGTGTATTGGTATCGCCACTTGCACAGAGGGAGCCCCAGGGCCAGACAGAACGTGACCTGCCCCAGGGCACTGAGACAGGAAGTGGTGGAGCCGAGACAGGAAGCGGACTTGGTGGAGCTGTGACAGGAGATGGCAGGGCTGTGCTCTGACCCAGGCAGTCTGGTTCTGGGGCCACAGGCTTAATCATGACATTGTGCTCTCCAAGGATGAGGTAACCAGACTCAGTTTCCCTGTCTGTGAAAAGTCTTGGAGTATGTGGCTTCAAAGCTAGTGAGGGTTAAAGTGATATGATATATAAACAATTCAGCAGTCCTCAGGCTGTGTATTCCACACATCTTTATTGAGCACCCACACAAAGCAGATGAGCCAGCTGCCTTGGATATGGCCATTTGCAGGGGAGGAGACTGGCAAGGCAGTGCACAGTGTGCCAAGAAGCAGCTCAGGCAGGGACTTAAAGCATCAGCTGAGTGCTCAGAAAGATGGCGTGGAGGATATTTGGTGCAGGGTAGTTGGTGAAGGCTACACAGATAAGGCCAGAGGCGAACAGGTTCCTGCAGGAAGTGAGGAGTAAAGTATGGGGTAGAGCACTCCGTCAGTGCAGTCGATTCAGCAACAGTAAATGCCACTTGCCTCTAAAGTGCCCTGCGGCAGTGACACCTTGTGGCTTCTTGCTCAGCCTGTGGCAGGCTTAGCAGAGAACCTGTGCACAGAGCCTCACTGCTGAACACATGGGTTCTAATGCCCAGAAGGAGCCCAGGCTCAAAGCAACTACACACTTGATTTCACAGCTCTTTGTAATAAGCCTCTGATTTCCCGCCCGAGATTAGAATCAGCAGTTATCAAGCATAGGAGAGATGAAAGATGACAGATCTGTGATCATGTCCGTGGGCCACAGGTACAGTGGCCCTGGATCCGAGTCAACTGGGCTGACAACAGCCCTTCTGGGACTCCAGGAAAATGCGCCCTTGTTGGTTCTGAGTTTGCTTCGACAGCCTAGGAGCTTACCAGAGTTAACTAGGGTCCCACAGAGAGGAAGTGAGAGCCTGGGGTCTACCCAACCCTGTGCCTCTGGAGGAAGCAAGGGGAATGAATATCCGGCAACCTCCTGCGGTGCAGAGAGCCAGGGCACAGCAGGACATGTGAACCAGGGGGCAGGGCTTTCAGGGGTGTCCTCTCAGGGCAGCCTACTGGGGTGGGGAGCTCCTGAGGCACAGGGACTAGTCCTTGCCTTGAATTCCGAGGAACTTTGCTTCTCCAGTCTCAGGACATCGGCCTGGTGGCCCTACCTCTTGGGGTTGACAGTCTTCTCTTCCCTAGCAGACAACCCCGCCATGAACAGTCCCTCTTCTACCCAGTGCTTCCACATGGAAGCTTCTCAAAGCAAGTCGATGATGATACTTGTCTCCTGTGGTTTCCTGGCTACACAGCAAGCTTTGCTTTAGCTCAAACAGGAAGCTGTCAGACTTGCTCCCCACTCCTCCTCCGCTGCACCCTGAGAGGTGGGCCCAGGCCTGTCCTACTTCACCTCCCCTGATTCATGTGTCACCTTGGATGTGGTGTTTGAAGCGGGTGGCGATTGTGTTTGTGCTGAGCTTTAGATGTCTTCAGTCTTGGAAGAGGCTCCTTGGTAATCACAGGCCAAGAATTTAAATTGATTGGGATTTTACAGGATCGTATATCTGTGTGCTGTGCTTGGTAGTCACAGAGTAGGAAATGTGTTTGGGGTACATAAGGAGAAGGAGTGGAGGAAGAGACAGAGGGAAAGGGGGTGTAAGACACTCATTTACAATATTAACCATTAATCAGGGGTAAGCACAAAATACCAAGTCTCCCTAGGTAAGATGATGGTAGTGATGATGCTGCACTTTTGAACTGATCCCGCATGCCAGCACCAAGCTGGGTGCTTTCCACAGATCATTTTATGTATACTTCATGGCAGTTTCTGAGGTGGAATATTATTGCCTATATTTTACTGAAATTTAGAGGCAATAAATAATCTGTGTATTAACAAACAAATAAGGAACCCAGGATTCAAACTCTAGGAGTGTGGCTCAACCACTGTACTCTCTGAGAAGGAATTGTTTGTGGAAACAAGACACTTCAGCATCTCAAGGAAGAGAAGCTCCAGGCCAAATGCTGGGATTACTGTTGTCCTTCAAAGCTGAGTTGTATACAGGTTTCCATTAGATCATGGATGGTCTCCCAGAGGACACGTGCCCAGGATCACACAGGTGTCATTGTGCACAAATAACAGAGGATGCTGAGGCAGGAGGATTGCAAGTTCTAGGCTAGCCTGGGCAACTTACTGAGACCTTGTCAGATAGATAGATAGATAGATAGATAGATAGATAGATAGATAGATAGATAGATAAAAAACAGAGATAAATAAGTAAATGGATGGGGCTGAGTGTGTGGATCGGTGTGAGAGGGCTTTGCATAGCATGCACAAGACCCTTGGTTCAATCCCTAGTACTGAAAAATAAAATAGGAGAGAGACAGAGATAGAGACAGAGAGAGACAGACAGACAGACAAGAGTGGAGTTTACATATACTGATGGCTTGCACAATGCCAGCCTGCATGCTAGAGACATATTAGCTCATTTAGTTTTAACAGTTCTGTGAAATGCATTCTCCTTTAGAAGAAACCAAGGATCAGAGAGGTTAATTGTGTATAAGCACATTGTGTGATACAAACCCAGCTCTTTGTGTATTCAGAGCTTTCTTGTGCAAGGCTGGACCAGACCTCATGGGCCAGTAACTGTCTAAATTTGGAAGCATCAGTTCCTTGGGTATGGCTTTCCTTGGGTGTACAAATGAACAGGTTGATCAGCTTTTCACATGCTTATTGGCTGTTTGCATGTTTTATTTGGAGAAATGTACATTGAAATACTTTGTGTATTTTAAAATTGGATTACTTATCTTTAGTATTGAGTTGCAAGGATTGAGTTCTTCATGTATTCTGGATGGTGACCCCTTATTAGTACACACTTTACAAATTTTTTCTCATGTTTTTGGGGTTGTTTTTTCACAGTCTTGATGGTATTGCTTGTAGCACAGAAGCTTTCCATTTTTATAGAGTCCAGTTTATCTGTGTTTTCTTGCTTTTGCTTTTAGTATTGGAGCTTAGAAAACAGTATATAATTCAAAGAAATATTTGCTCTATTTTCCTCAAGAATTTTATAGATTTAGCTCCTTGCTCCATTTAGATGTATGATTTGTTTTAAATTAATGTATTTTATGATGTAAGATAGGGGCCCGTCTATGTGGCTTGTATCTAGATATCCCTCCAAAACCTCATACACCCATAGGTGGGGCTTTATGGAGGTGGCTGGATCTAGGGTGTGTGAATATGAATTAAGGGTGTGTGCTAAATTAGTCCACTGATTGGTTTAGCATAGTTCTGAGTGTGGATAATGGGAAGGCCCTCCCTGTGTGTGAATGGCACCATCCAATAGACTTGTAGCTTGAACGGAATAATAAAGAAAGGGAGGCTCGATGCTGCTGCTTTCTGTCTGCCTGCCGTGGACTGTTTCTCCTCTGCAGTGCCCCTCTGCCATGCTGTCCTGCCATGGAGCCAGCGAACTATGAACTAGAACCCCTACAAACTGTGTGCTAAAATAAACCTTTACTTTACTCCTTTAACTTTGTCCCAGCAGTGAGAAAGTAAGACACCTCATTTTTTGGACATCCAGTTGTCTCAGCTCTGTTTGTTGAAAAGACTCTTTTTTGCCTGTTGAATATTGTTGGTCATTAGGGAAATGCAAATGAAAAACCATAGTGAGACAGCACTTTACACCCAATTGGAAAATAACAAGTATTGGCAAGAATGTAGAGAAATTAGAGCCCTTATATATTGTTGGTGGAAATGTAAAATGGCATGGCCACTTAGGAAACAGGTTGGGAGTTGCTCAAAAACAAATGATTGCCTCATGACCTAACAGTTCTGCTCCTAGGTATATATCCAAGAGAAATAAATATACCCCAACATAAAACTTGTATATGAATGTTCAGACTAACATTATTCAGAGTAGCCAAATTTTAGAGACAACTCAAATGTGCATTGTGGATAAATAGAATGTGGTAAATTAATACAATGAAATATTACTTGATACATCAAGGGAATGAAGTACTGATACATGCTACAGCATAGATGAACTTTGAAAACATTTGCTAAGGGAAAGAAACTAGCCAAAGGTCACATTCACAGATCATTCAATTTATATGAAATGTCTAGAAGAGGCAGGTATATAGGGAAAAGTAGGTTGCTGGTTGCCTAGTGTTGGATAG